TCAAGGAATACACAATTAAAATTTAAATTAGAAAAAAAAAACATTCAAATAATGGGACATAGCGATCCTAAATAGCCCTAGAGCGGGCACAGTCACGTACGTATCGCGTATTCTTATAGATTGTGCTGCCAGGCGTACGTTATCTAGTGAATTTAGTCAATATTATACAGTAACAATGGACCTAAGTGTAAACCTGTATTGTACATGTACTAAATGATTACAGTACTAAAACTGTTATGTCTATTGCAAATATAGCTTGTTTATACAGGAATTCAAATAAATTACTATCTTACAAGAATCCAAGCTATGTAAGTTATACTCACCCATGTCGTTTGGGTGGCAAATTATGAGAAGAGCTTAGTCATTCTTAAGTAATGATAAATAAACACCCAGGCCTTCAGCGCCAACTGTCAAATCTTATCTCAAATAAATATAGACACTCTGTCACCTCACCTCACGCTCGGCTGGCTACCTCCCTCCCTGTGTTCCCAGACAAAAGATTGGTGATTTCTTTATGTATATCTCAGACTAAAGTTAGGATAATATAATTTGCATTGCTGAAATCCTTGCAAGACAGAGATTAATTTGAATATAAGCGTCATATATTTTGCTCAAGATATAAAAAAATGTAGCACATTAGTGTACAATACTGTAGTACATTTTATAAAAAGTTTTTCAACTGTATTTTTGGGTAGATTTACATAAATTTCTTCATTTACATGCAAACACCATACTAAAAGAAACGTAAAAGAAATAAATGACCTTAGTGCAAAGCTGGAGTGCACATGTACTAATTTGATTATGGTACTAAAATTGTTATGTCTAGTGCGAATCACATCGTTTATATTCAAATAAATCAGGATGTTACAAGAATCCCAGCAATGTTAATTATATTCTCCTAGGTCATATCACTGGCATTTTAAAATGAGAGAAGCTTAGTAGGACTGTTAAATAAACACACAGAGACCTTCGGCTCAAACTTATCACCTCAACCCCCCCACCCCTCGCTGGCTGGCTCCCTCCCTCCCTCCTCCCCAGCCAAGGTTTTAGGCTTACAGTTTTTATCTTATATAATATCTCAGACTAAAGTTAGGAGATTATTATTTGCATTGCTGGAATCCTTGCAACACAGCCAATATTTTGAATATAAACGTCATATATTTTGCTCAAGGGATAAAAATTGTTGTACACTTGTGTACAGTACTGTAGTACATTTTATAAAAAAGTTTTTCAACTGTATGTTTGGGTAGATTTACATAGATTTCTTCATTTATTTTCATCCAATTACATGCACATACCATACTATAAGAAATGTAATAGAAATAAGTGACCATAGTGCAAAGGTGGAGTGCACATGTACTAATTTGATAAAGGTACTAAAATTGTTTTGTCGAGTGCAAATTATAGCATGTTTATATTCAAATTAATCAGTATGTTACAAGAATCCCAGCAATGTTAATTATATTCACCCAGGTCATTTCACTGGCTTTTTATAAGAGAAGCTTAGTCACTTAAGAACTGATAAATATAAACGCGTTAGACCTGGGCCTGTGGCAACTGTCTAACATACTACCTCCCCTCCCACCACGCGCCCTCGCTCGCTCCCTCCCTTTCTCTCCCCCATCTGCCCGGCGTTGCTGGAATCCTTGTAAAACAGTGAATAATTTTAATATAAATGTCATGTATTTTGCACAAGAGATAAAAATTAATCACCTGTATCACATTACAGTAGTGATTTAAGAATAAAAGTGAATATGTACGTATATAGTATTCCACATACACGTACAGTAAGTATAAATACAGTATTACCCCGCTTTACGAGGTTTCACTTTACACGATTTCTCATATACGCGGTGCCTCGCCAGAACCAAGCTTTCACTTTCCGCGGTTCATCTACCTATATACGCGTGAAGTATAATTTTTTTTTTATTTAGCTCATAAAATTCATACACATTACCCGGCCAGAATATAATTTACATTGCTGGAATTCTTACAATTTGATGATCATTTTGAATATAAACATCATAGATTTTGCATTAGACATACAAATTTTAGATCTAATGTTTACTCTGAGTAAATATGTTATCTTTTGTGCAAAATATATGACATTTATATTCAAAATATTCCTCGTCTTACAAGGAATCCAGCAATGTCAATTATATTATCCTAACTTTAGTCTGAGGTATTATTTATTACTAAAAAGGTAAATATTCTGGTTTTCCCACACATTTATCTGGTAGGGAGGGTTGGTGGGGGGTGGGAGGGAGGGAGGGACCGACCGACCATCTGGCACGTGTGAAGAATATTTATTTTTTTATTAACTGAAGATATTTGTTTTAGCTCATAAAATTCATACAAATTACCCGGCCAGAATATAATTTACATTGCTGGAGTTCTTACAATTTGATGATCATTTTGAATATAAACATCATAGATTTTGCATTAGACATACAAATTTTAGATCTAATGTTTACTCTGAGTAAATATGTTATCTTTTGTGCAAAATATATGACATTTACAATGACCCCTCCGTTAACGAACTCAATCCGTTCCAGAAGGTCGTTCGTTAACCGAAAAGTTCGTTAACCGAAATCATTGTTTCAATGGGTTTTTGGGTAATTGGTTCCAGCTCACCGAAAATTTCCTAAATTCAACAAAAATGGTAGAAAAGTTCACTTACTTTGAGGTGTGTATGTAGAAGGCTCCTGGATGATGATGATGATGATGGGATTTAAAATGGGGGTGGAGGAGAAGGAAGAAGAGAAGGCATTGGGGTGGAAGAGAAGTCACCCCATGGCGCCATTTCACCCATACAATTTTAGCTCTCTTGGTGTAATTCAAGATTATTTTCTTTAAATCAACACTGCACTGCATTATATATTGTCAATATGTAAAATATATTTCAAAATGACCAATAATTTGCTTGGAAACACAGAAAAAAAGCGTTTAGTTGAAGAGAGTCTCAAGCAAGATGTTACCTCCAGTGAAAACAGAGAAAGACTAACTCCTGTTTGCTGTGTTAAGAGGCTGGATGCCGCGCATTAAACTAGTCACTTTACCTTCAATTATGTTCAATAATTGTTAAAATGACTAAAAAATTGAATATTAAACTTTTAAAATTATTGAATAGTATAAAGTTCTTGATATTTACTAAAATAGTAAGGAATTTAAGCACTAGAACCGATTAATGTATTGGCGGACTGATACTAAAGCTGGTTGCCCGGTCAGTGCAAGCGAAAACATGTTGAGGTCGGTTCGTAAGAACTTCGTAAACCAAATTTTTTTTCGTTAACCGAATTGAAGATCCTTATGGAAGGCAGTTCGTTAATCGAAATTACGTTAACCGAGGTGTTCGTTAAACGAGGGGTCACTGTATATTCAAAATGTTCCTGGTCTTGCAAGGAATCCAGCAATGTCAATTATATTATGCTAACTTTAGTCTGAGGTATTATTTGTTACTAAAAGTTAAAATTAGTTTTTTCACCCAACATTTCTCTGGTAGGGAGGGAAGGTGGGGTGGGTGGGGAGGGTTGGGACCGACCGACCATCTGGCGCGGTTGGATGAGGGGGGCAGGCAAGTTGGGGTACTTTGATTGACAGATAGTGTCGTGAAGAATATTTTTTTTTTTATTAACTGAAGATATTTGTTTTAGCTCATAAAATTCATACAAATTACTGGACCAGAATATAATTTACATTGCTGGAATTCTTACAATATGTTGATCATTTTGAATATAAACATCATGGATTTTGCATTAGACATACAAATTTTAGTTCTAATGTAATAATTTGGTTTACACAAAGCAAATATTTTATCTTTTGTGCAAAATATATGAAGTTTACATTCAAAATATTCCCTGACCTGCAAGGAATCCAGAAATGTCAATTATATTATCGTAACTTTAGTCTGAGGTATTATTTATTACTAAACATTACAATCTAGTGTTTCACCCAATCATTTCTCAGAGAGGTAGGGGCCAGTGAGTGTGAAAGGGGGGGGGGGAATTTGAGTCTATTATTTGAATGGACATTAACCTGGGACTGTATTTCTCTTAAATATTAATGTGTGAGTATATATATATATATATATATATATATATATATATATATATATATATATATATATATATATATATATATATATATATATATATATATATATATATATATATATATATATATATATATGAGAAAAGTTTTTTTTCTTTCCTGTTATCAGCATATACCTAGATCGCACCTACAGTGATTTACTTGCATATATATATATATATATATATATATATATATATATATATATATATATATATATATATATATATATATATATATATATATATATATATATATATATATATATATATATATATATAGTGTGTGTATGTGTGTGCAAAACTGCAAATAACTGTACAGTATACTGTATATATAGTTTTTTCTTGAATGTAGATCCAAAGTTTTGGAGCCCTTCACTATATTTACAATGACAAATGTGGCTCACAGCCTACAAAAGGTGAGGGAACCACTGGTGTAGGGGGAGGGAGGTAGGAACATTGCTCGGGAATCAGCATCCCATCTGGTCTTCGTTATTATGGTGAAACAGCGAGTGTCTGCAAATGGTGACTGTTAAATTGCCATTTGGCTTTTATTTACTGATTTGGCAATACTGTACAGTACAGTATTTTTTGTTGATATCTTTATTTATTCCTCACATTTCCTGGTGTGAGAGTATTAACGGAATTAATCTCAATTGAGTGGACTAGTTCACTAAATTAGGTGAAAGATAACGGAAAAAATGCCTTCCGCTAAATAGAAGTTTGTTATATTGGATTCAGTTAAATCGAGAGTATACTGTACATTATACAGTTACTAATATACAGTACTGCTACTAATATACTGTAGGAGACAAAAACAAAATAATTTTAAAAGTAAAAGATTGTACAGTACAAATTTATAGTATATTTCATTTACAAGATGGATACAAAAACTATGAAAAAATAACATACCTTTTTTTCTTCCCTCTCCCGCCATTCACAAAGTTCTTTGGAGGCAAGTTCTTCTGATGTCATTCTCACCAAGTTAGCAGGAGATATGGTTCCATTTAAAATCTTGCGAAATAGTCCACTGTTCTTTGTGTCTTTTGTATTAAAGAGGATACTTCTGTAGCGAGATTTATACTTAAATCCCACATCCTGTAAATTAAATTTATCTTAAACATCTTTCTGCACATTTTGGAAATCAAATTATAAACACATGAAAATTTAAACTTAAGTTACTCCTATTTATTTGTATTTTGCCACAACAATGCCAACACCCTTTTGAAAACAGAAAATTATAAAACTAAGAAAACATTTCACGTGATTTGCTATAACAAAAAACACCACCAATCACTGTTGTATATACAGTACAGCATGCTGTACCCCAGCTGCACCATATTGGTTTCAAAACTTTCGGGAAGGAAATGAGTGTTTCCGTCACTATTTTGCTATACATAAAGGAAAATTTCATGTTTGAACGTTGCTCAAGCTTTGACATTTCTACAAAAATGCCACATGTTGCACAGACATCCTCATTCAAAGACATGCCCTGGAGCACTGACACATACTGTAATGGTGTCTGATGGCAACTAGGAGGGTGTAGATGATAGTTGGCCCTGCCCATAGGATTAACCACTATTGACTAATTCCTTGGTAACAGTACCATTCACCGAACTTTTTAATCAACCCTCATGTGTGTGTATGTGTGTGTAAGCTTACAGAGCTCCACCAAAACCCCAACAGCAGCATAGGCAGAAGAGGTGACCGCAATGGGAATCCAACGACTACACCAGCAGATGAAAGCAATGCATGATGGACAGGCTACCAAACAAACTGGAATATCAGCAATCCATTGCAAGTCTCCCTTTCCTCAGTCATTGCAATACACGCACCAATGGATCAGCAAATGGGAGAGCCAAAACACGTAGTTGCAGCTTGCTCTGTTGCAGCTTGTGCTCCCGTCTCACCACATGCATCAACTCACACGCAGCCATCATCCAGCTCATCATCACCAAAACCACTATACACCCAAAAGTCCTCTGGCAACAGACGAGTGACGACGGGGAAACACAGAGATGATTGCTGGAAATCTCAAGTCACAACTCTGCACATGGGCGGCATGGATAAGATGGTCGTTTATGCACTGGGATCTAAGCAGCAGTGCAATACCGTCCTGTCTGTGTGACTGAGCAGCCCTTTTGAAGAGCCACTCTGCTCACCCCACACGGGGAGGGGGTAGAATAGGTGCCCTAAACATGGTCTACCTAAAGAACCAACCTCACTGGGCAACCGCACCCAGTAAGGTCATCCATCTGTAGTTGAAGGCACATCATAATCACGAATCAAAAAATCAAACTACACATCCTCTTTTGGTTGCTGCATGGAATATCAGAACCCTTCTGGATACTGGCACAAATGAAGTGTCCTAAAAGAAGGACCGCCTTTGTAGCAAAAGAGCTGGCTAGGTATAACATCAGCATAACAGCCATAAGTGAATCCCAGCTTGTAAATGAGTGTCGACTGACAGAACAGGGGTCTAGCTATACCTTCTTCTGGAAGGGTAAACCTGCTGTGGAAAGAAACCCCATTTATGTAGTTGGCATTGCCAACCGCCAATGCATCCTACAGAGGCTAACTGAAATGCCTATTGGTATCAACGAGCCCCTCAGGATGCTCCGAGTCCCACTGAATTACTCACGTCTTGCCTTCTTCATCAGTGCATATGCCCCAACACTGCATGCAGAGGATGACATCAAGGAGGCCTTTTATACCGACCTTGAGTGCTTATCTCTATCCCCAGAGAAGAGTTAGCAGAGATGCTGACATTTGGCAGGTAATCATAGGGAGAAATGGACAAGGCAAGTGTAATTCCAATGGCCTACTCCTACTCAGCAAGTGCATTGTACACAACCTCACTATCTCCAATACCTTGTTTAACTAAGCCGACAAGTTCAAGGGTTCGTGGCAACACCCACGATCCAAACACCTCCATCTCATTGACTTCATCATTGTCAGAGAAAGAGATCGCCTAGATGTCCTCATCACCCAAGCCATGCGTGGCTCAGACCACTGTGACACTGATCATCAGCTCGGCAGAGCCAAGCTCTCACCTCATGTTGTCCCAAAACTGTGAAGGCAACAAGCCTCCAGAAGAAGGTTTTAACACTAAGCACCTGGAGGATCCAGCACTCGCACATGCTTTCAGACAGCAGCTCGAACATGGGCTGATAAATAACCTGACAAAACAAACAACCCAAATCCCAGTGCTGAATGGGGTAATCTCAACATTGTCATGACAAAAACCTGCAGAGAGACCCTCAGTCAGATCAAAAGAATACACCATGACTGGTTTGATGAAAATGACCCAGAAATCAATGTACTCACTGTTGATAAACTTGCTGCCTTAACTGACTGGCAGAACAACCTTCAGTCTCGGACCAAAGCCGATTCTTTTCGCAAGAAGAAAGCAGCAGACCAGCGCGAACTTCGCAATCTAAAGAACAACTGGTTTAAAAATAAAGCATGCGAAATGCAAAAACTTGCAGATCAACACAAGGTGCATGAATTTTTCAATTCCATTAAAACATTTTATGGGCCAATCACTCATGGCGCAGCCCCCCCCTCCGTTCATCCAATGGTAACTCCCTAGTTAAAGACGAAGAAGGCATCCTTCGAAAATGCTCCATCGAAACTCCAATGTGGGTGTCCTGACTACCCAGTAGGTCCCTCAGCATCCAGAGCTAACCCACCTTGGCTATCCTTCATCCCTTGATGAGGTAGCTACTGCCCTCAAACAGATGAACAACAAAGCCTCAGGGCCTGATGGAATCCCAGCCGAGGTGTATAAATGAGGAGGACCTCTGCTTACTAGCCATCTCCACTCTCTCTTGGAGAATATATGAGAAAAGAAGGAAATCCCTTAAGGTCTTAAAGACGCCTCCATTGTCAACATTTATAAGAACAAGGGAGACCAGTCAGATTGTGGCAACTACCCAGGATCTCATTGCTGTCCGTAGCTGGCAAGATTATCGCCCAAGTCCTCCTAAACAGACTTCTTCCTGAGGTGGAAAACTTCCTCCTAGAATCTCAATGTCGCTTTAGACCATCACGTGGCACCAGTGGCATGATCTTTGCTGCCCGCCAGATACGGTACAGGAAAAGTGCAGTGAACAGCGTCGTGACCTGCACAAGGCCTTCACCGACCTAATCAAGGCCTTCGACTAGGTCAACAGGGAAGCCCTCTGGAGAACCCTCAGCCATTTTGGCTGGCCACCAAATTCCATCACCATTGTCAGGCAACTCCACGAAGGCATGAACAGCAGTGTCCTGCACAATGGCACCCAATCTGAGTTCTTCCCCATCCAAATGGGGTAAAACAAGGAAGTGTACTGGCACCAACTCTCTTTTCCATTTTCTTGGCTGCCTTCCTTACTCGTGCCAGTGCCAATTTAGCGGGCGGGATGGGCATCCAGGACCGGATGAATGGTCTTTTCAACATAAGACAACTCCAGGCAGGAACAAAGGTATCGGCAGCTTCTATTACTGAACTTCAGCATGCGGACGACCTCATTCTTGTTGCTCAAACTGAACGCGACCTACAGGAGATCCTGAACACCTAGTATGCACACTTTGGCCTTGAGGTGAATGTTCGTTAGACTCAGTCTCTATTCAGCCTGTCCCTGGTTTAGCCACACTTTCACCATCCATCCAGCTTAGCAGTAGTACTGTCTCTAATGTTACCCACTTTCAGAGTCTCAGGTCCCACCTGTCCACTATCGCAGACATCAATGCAGATTCAACATCAGATCAGCTTTGCATCTGGAGCCTTTGGCAGACTCCATACCCGTGTCTTCAGCTGTAGGGAGCTGACATTATCAGCAAAGTTGCATGTATATCAAGCAGTGGTCCTCCTGACCCTGCTGTATGGCAACAAGACATGGGTCACATACAGGAGGCACCTCAAGCCACTTGGAAACTTTCACCAATGTAGTCTATGTTCCATCCTCAGAGTTAGCTGAGAAGACAGGAGAACAAATGACAGTATTCTCGCTGACACCAACTGTGGGAGAATCAAGGCTACCATAATCCATGAACAACTACATTGGACTGGCTATGTTACCCTCATGGACGACAGAAGACTGTCAAAGCAGCTACTTTACAGTCACCTAACGAATAGTAAACATAACGCTGGCAGGCATCCTGAAAAGGTATAAGGATAGTCTTATGACAAACCTGAAAAAGTGCCAAATCGACCCCCTCACCTGGGAGATGATTACTCCATACCGTAACACTTGGAGAAGCACCACACGAGAAGGTGTGAATACTTTCGAATTAGACCGATTGCATACCGAGGCAGACAAGTGTCAATGCCGCAAAGACACTGCTGCCGCCCCTTCTGCACTAGATGTGGAGACATGTGCAACATCTGTGGATGACTTTGCCAGTCCCGTATCGACCTCTCTAGTCACCTCAGAGCTCACCAACGAATGTGACATCCCTAATAACTCATATCATTGTTTCATAGCTGGATGATCGTTACACTCAATTCTGAGTGACACCAAAGTAGTAGTAGTAATGTAGATGATGCTGTTTGTGAGTGATGTGGGGTGAGGGTAGTGTTGGAGGAAGGCTGGGGTCAGTGGGAGGCGAACCTTTCTGGGGGATGAGGAGGGAGGGTCACAGTCAGTTTTCTCTCCTCAAGCATGGCTAATTATGATAGGGAGATGAACGTGATAACATAATCATCGTTAATAAATTATCTACGAGACATTTACAATAAGATACCCTTAAACGAAATATTTTGATGATATAAAGATAGAAGGTCCATTCCTTTCTAAAAAAATAAATAATAAATGCTGTTACATCAGTTCAAATTAATGGGCATGAATGGAGCTGTGTGTTACAACAAAGACAGTGTGGTATTTTGCACGAGTGTAAACGACACATCTCACAGGATCTGTATTTATTTATGCAAACACCACTGTAATGCACATATACAATACTGTAAAGTTCATACTGCAAACAAAATAATGTACTACTATACTGTACTCACCAGCAGATCCTGTCATCTTTAACCTAGAGTAGACAGATACTTTACTCAGCTGACTGTAATACATAACTGTAATCACATCTTCACTTGTGATGGAGATTGGATGGGAGATTATTGGGTCATGTTACTAAACCTGAACCTGATGCAATGTCAGGTCACCCATTGTTGGGTGGGGGGATTAGTGGGTTTTATGATCTGAACATGTCTTGAATGACATTATTTTTTACCAATGAGGTATATACATAGTACTGTATTGTATTGTATATATGAGGCACTCAGCGTTAGATGGGGGTGAAGCGACACCCCAGTCAAAATGCGTTTTTCCTCTACATGTTGGCATTGGATGTAACCCTCTAGCTAGAATAGAAATATGGTTGAAAGTCCTTCAAAAACAAGGTGTGATTTTGCCTCAGGCCTGGAGATACGTATCTGGCTGTGCGCTCAGTTCCAGAGAGTGGCAACATCTCGTTCAGGGCGAGAGGAGCATGAGCCAATGACAGCGTGCCTCCCTCGGACCATACCCCCCAAGGCAGCCAATCACAATGGATTTCCCCTTGCTATGTCACAGCTCCTCGGCCAATCCACGCGCCAAGATGCTGCCTCCTCCCTATGTTTTGGCGATTATTTTAGCATCAGGAGGTTAAGTGTACGATCAACTGCTACTTTTGATAACTTTTCGGCGTAACATTGACACTATTCATGTTCCACGGGTGTGAGAAATGCTGTGCAATATCTGCCCGATATTAGAGCAAGACTCGAGTGAGACCAGGCCTTCTGGTGTGGGTTCAGGAGCCCATTATTCCTGAGCATATGTTTGATGCCAGTGCCCAAGTGGACACCCCAGTAATGCTAGATGATAGTGATTTTGGTGGTGAATTTAGTGTTGATTATGGTGATACAAGTGCTACTGGCGATGGTGCAAGTGACGTGCATGATTGCAGAAAAAACATAAATCACTTTATGAACCATTGGAAGATATTTTAGAGACTATGATGACTTACCTGTCGACAATGAAAGTGATTATCATAATGACAATAACACTTTGAATGCACAGAATAACTTTTTAGCATGCTACAAAGCATACGAAGATCTTTTTGCCGACTATGATGAGTTAAAAGACAATGTGGCATGCATTGATGATGATAATGACGGTGAAAATGAGCTTGAAATAGATGAAACTGAGTACAGTATACTCATAATACAAAAAGTGACTGCTATGAGTCACAAGACCTTTTTGCAGACTGTGATGAAAGTGAAGATGAAAATGATGAAAGAGAGTCTAATGGTAACACAAACAGTGACACTAATGTATCACAACAAGAACATACAGACTGTGAGGAGGTAGAAGTGGACAGTGACGAGACATGCATTGACCTTGATAGTGATGATAGTGAGCCTGACCCAACGAATGCTAGTAAAAGTGAGCCCATAACTAAGTCTTATAATGAAACTGAACTGTTTCCGGCATCAATAATCAATGATTTATTTGATGAAGAATCTGTGTGGCAATTTTTAGAGAGCGCAGAGAAAGATTTTGAGCAGTACTTGATTGATTATGACGAGGCCATTAAAGTTATACGCACTCCTCAGGATTTACGTAACTTCAAGTGACTAGGATCTTCAGGGATAATAAAACGAAGGAACTAAACAAAGTAAGATTGTAATACTATTATCATAATACTGTTTTTACCAAAGATTATGCAAACTTTCTCCGCCTGTGTATTCGTATGTTAATTGCGTTGGTGGGAGGGAGGAGGTTAATGGTGGGGGGATGAGTGTAGTGGTGTTTCCTTATTATTACACACTATTATACTTAACAATATTATAAATCTTTGGCTAATAATAGGGACAGAAGATAAATGCTGATAGGCTAGTTATATAGACTTTTCCCATGTGAAACAGCGATAATTTCGAGCAGCATATTACTGTACTCATTTTTTACTCAAATGTATTATGCAAAAGGACTAAACTTTTTATCTCTTGTGTAAACTTTGAGATGTTTATACTCAAATTAATCACTATCTTGCAAGGATTCCAGCAATATGAGTTATTTTCTGCTAGGTCAAGTCTATGTCATTTTATAAAATAAGTCCCAGGTTGCTGATCTGACTTTCTGCCTCATTTACACACAATCACAGGGTTTCAATTGTTTCTCTTACTTTGATAACACAACATACATATATTGTTTCTCACTATTGATTTTTTTCATTTTTGCATTTCTTTATGGTTCTTTATTATTATTATAATTATTATAAGTGTTATTATTATTATTATTATTATCATTATTTCATTTTTAATTTTGTATTTTGTATTATAAATTTTATTAACTATGAATTATGATTATTTTATTTTTAATTTTGTATTTTTATTAAAAATTACATTCAAAATGAATTATTATCATTATTAAATTTTCGCCCCCAAGGCCCTGATGTGGGTCAGTGACCTGTGCCTGGGTGAGCTAATCTCCCCCCACCCCCCCAAAAGCCTAGATTCATCTTCATCCCATTAATCCTTAGCATCCACCGACATCTGCCTCTCTTGCTGGCTGGGAGGAGGGGGGTTGGGTGTTAACAGATAGGAGCCAGGATAGTGTGTAGTTATCAAGCAGAATATAACTAACATTGTTGGAATTCTTGCAAGATGCCAATTAATTTGAGTATAAACATCCCATAGTTTGCACTAAATAAAATTTTTTGTAATTAACTTAGAACATCTGAGTACAGGTTGTGAAAATTTATGTTGTTGCTCAGCAGTTGTAGTTGCTGTTGCAAAGCTTCATGACATCACTAGTGTATAATGCATCTCCATTTGCCCTGGTTTATTCACTGATCAGTTGTCTAAGTGCAAAAGTAGTAAAATCCAGCCATCATGTATCAATTAATTTTAAAATAGAAATTATAAAGTAAAATGTTATAAGACAATGGTTTAGTAGTGCTGTTAATGTGTGTGCTGTGTAAGTGTCTTGGCATGTCACCTCACCACCTGACTCCGTCACCTCACCCTTTGCCTCGTTAGGTCAGCTAGGAATTACATTGAACAGAGCATTGGATTCCTGGCCTGTCCTAACACTATATATAAGTTGTTTAAGTCTAGTTATAAGATCTTTTCCCGTCTGGCCTAAGTAGAACGGGAAAAGATCTTATAACTAGACTTAAACAACATAAATATAGTGTTAGGACAGGCCTGGAATCCAATGCTCTGTTCATTCATATGAGAGATAATAAGCATTGCATTGACTGGGATAATGCCTCCTCAATATTACAGTGTAATTCAATTATCAGTAGGAACATTGAAGAATCTAGTCTCATTAAACATACCGAATCTGTCAGCATGAATTTGAGTAATGGCACGTACAAACTGGAAAATTTTGTGATTAAGAAGATTTGTAACCAGGTGAAAGGGTTGGGTCATTTTACCTTATGACCTGATTATGGTGGACACCTGCTGTCCCTAGGGATTTGATCTCATTTACTGTAAACATTAGCCTTGTTAATAATTACTCCTTAGTCTGTACCCACCCCTGGATTAGCCCCTGTCTCATAGACATTAATATTATATAAATATGGGTTAATATAGATTCCACTCACAAGGCGTGTCCTCAGTATATCATAAGTCAGCTATACTGGGCAGCGCCCGGTAGCAGTCTCCACTCAGATCTCATACTAGTCAGGCGTTCTTTAGGGCTTATCTAAGATAGCTCCGTCTGTCTTATTATAGCACTCACAGCTACAGTGACTATTACAGTGAATATCCTTTGGGACCGTGTAGATACTCCCTTTTTTATAATAAAATAAGGAATGAACACTTTGGATTAGCTATTAAACCGAATATACAGTACTTTGATCTATATTTAGTTAGCTTGCCTTATCAGCCTCTAAGATAATTGGCTCAAAGTATAAGGAGTAAGCACCTAGAATATACTGTAAAGGTAAAAACTTCAACAGTGCCTGTTACAAGTGGTAAAGCCCCCAGGTCGTTACATACATGACAGCTTCACAAGTAGCTGTTATACAACGGTAAGTTACCTAATGGTTACACAGTTGGTCACAATTGAGATTATCTGTTCTCCTGTTACTGTGTAACTGTTACAAAGAAGATCCGTTACACCAATAAAGATGTGAATTACACAAAAGCACTTAGTAATAGCATGGACAATTTTGTGATTAAGAAGATTGGTAACCAGGTGAAAGGGTTAGGTCACTACCTTATGACCTGAATATGGTGGACACCTGTTGTCCCTAGGGACTTGATCTCATTGTCATTAACTGTATATATTAGCCTTGTTAATAATTACTCCTTAGTCTGAACTCACCCCTGAAGATGTGAATTACATGAAACCACTTGGGAACTTCGTGTTTTCTTGTTTCCTATGTGGTTATCAGCATATACCTGGATCACGAACACCTACACAGATTTATTTGCACATACATACATATTATATATTCTGTGTTGGAGGAGGGAGGGATGAGATTACCAACCTTCCCAAAGAATGTATAAAGTTCTTTCTCTATTTCTACTGCAAGATCTTTGATGGCATCTTCACTCAGACTATCAAATTCTTTTTTTGCATCTTGGTAGCGTTTGACGAGACAATCAGCTAGAGTCTTCTTAATATTGTTCCTAACTTCAACTGGGTCAGGTTTCTTTTTCTCCACAGATGTAGGTTTATTCAGAATCTGAAAATTAAGGAAAGTATTAATCATTGCAGAAATTAGTTTTCTCATTAATTCTACAATGCAGGTGTACCCCAATATGCCTCTGCCAAATAAAAAAAAAAAATTCTTGTATTAGCCCCTTAATCTTTATATAAATGTGGGGCAGTGCATTCAGCTTAATAATCATATCTTCCCCTGTATCTTTCCACTAGCTATGAGGTGAAATGGTCACATCACGTGATGAGTAAGCCCTACCCTTGAGGCGGGACCCTAAAATGCTAGGTCGGGTAATAGAAGCCGGCTACACCAGGCATTCTCACTCAAACTCTCACATCGACAGTTCGTACTTAGCAGAGCTATTTAATATAGCCTCCGTCCTCATTTAACACTCATAACTACAGTGGTTAAGTAATGGTGATATACACTTGGAACTGTATAAAGTATATATTTTCCTAATAAATTAAGAAAAGACAGTTGGGTTTTCACGACTAAAAACCCTATGCTGTATACTTTTACATGTTCCAGCCCCATTAACTCATCAAGAATCAACGGTTAAAGGGCCAGTTCAGTCTAATGAAAGTCACATTTTTGACACTTTTTTTTCTTTATTGTATTATGAAAGCAAATATTTATTTTCATGAATAAGAATCATATTTTGACACTTTTTTATTTACAGAGAGTGAACTTTTAGATGCCATGCAATTAAGGTGGCCCAGGATGCTCAGCATTGCATTTAGGGTCTACTATACCTGTATAGTATCCATTGTTTTTAATTCCTTACTATTAATTTTACAAGACAGACATATAGTGGTGGAACAATACATTAAGGTGGAAATGGAAGAGGTGACAAAAGGAATAGAAAGGCAAAGATTTTTACATTACAAAATAGTGGTAAGGAGGCTGTTCTGTCAGGGCCATTCATTAGGAGTAGAGTTCCCTGGAGGAGTGAGGAATTACAGACAGAATATGAAGGAGGATACCTCTGTTTAGAGGCAAGTATTGTATAATGCTCACTAGTGTATGAAATCTCAGTTATGGTTTGGAAGGCAAACTGTTAAAAGATGGACAGACAGATAGACAGTGCCACACCATTATAAAGTACGTATACTCTTTTTTATGGGAGCATATACAGTTGTACCAATATACATCGCTGTAGTGATGGGTTGTCAGACCACAGCTTACATCGCAAGGAAAGCCAGACTTGACCCGACATTAGGGGGGTCAAGTGTAAGGGTATCCCCCGCGGGTGCTCAAGGGTGTTACAAATCAACTAGCTCCCCTTCCCATGTCACACGGCCAACAAACATGTAAGAAGGCACCAGCCGACTCTCTCCCAATATACACAATATCCTACACCGCAGAGGAAGGCCAGTCTTGACCCGACATTAGGGGGGTCAAGTGTAGGGTAACTCTCACGGTTGACCAAGGGTTATAAATCAGCCAGGCTCACCTCTCATGTCACGGCCCCATCTGATGACTTTCCCAGAAGATACAACTTATAGTCTCTGAAAAAGTCAAGACCTGACCCTACATTAGCGAGGGCAAATGTAAGGAGATCCTTCGCCGCCCCCCCCCGATCAGCTCAACCTGACGGCTGGTCTTCCAATATATAGGACGTGCTAGTCCTCCCTCAGAGAGGGACAGAGAGATACGCAGACAGAGAGCCAGAGAGGGACAGGGAGAGTGTGTCTTGTAACCAATATGAAAATGCTCTACACGTAGAGGAAGCGCAGGTGAACAGAAAAATCATCTGGAATATTATAGAAACCAGGAGGAAGTGAGCAGAAGTCAGATGTGGTGACACGACCTACAAAGTGCGGTATTGAAGAAAGAAAAACGTGCTATGTGAAGACAGAAGACACGCTGTGCTGACATCAGAAGAAAGTCGACGATGAAAAGGTGGATAATCAAAAGGACCAACCGACTACCGCTGTTGTGCTGCCGGCATTCCTTATTTTCAGATACCAGCTGGATGGAAGACTTGAGCCATGCTGGACCCAACAAATGTACTGATGTTGTTGATGTTGTTGATGTTGTTGATGTGTAATAAAAAGATATAACACCCTAACATGTGAAGTAGGAGCATTTTTTTATGTACTTTGAAGTATTTCATTCTCTGATTTTTATTAACATGTACTACAAAGAATGTTTTTTTAAAAGATTAGTCACTTTTTCTATGAGTTCATTTGATCAATGTTTTGCACTACGAAACACAATGTTGTAGCCATTTACTGACTGAGATGAATTATTATTTTGACATGGCCTGGTTAGGCAATGTAACACCTGTTTTTGTTTGTAGAATGTGATTTGCAAGTTTGCCTCGGACAGTATGCTAGATATGAAGGATCTTTAGATCACTCTATGTTCACTTACTGTGTATGTATTTTATTTTTTTCTCCTGTCATAGAAGCTTTAATCTTGGCGGGAGGTATAGTAAGCTTTGTCAGATCAAACTATGCCAGTAGAAAAACATACATCTCTAGGGTTATAATTTGTAAAATGTAAGGATGCATTATCGCCTCAGGGACTATATTAGATACTGCACATGATGTTACTGTCTACTTTAAATGTGTCATCAGTTCTCTGAGCAGGAAAGCTTTGGTCTTGGCGGGAGGTGTAGTGATGGGTTGTCAGACCACAGCTTACATCGCAAGGAAAGCCAGACTTGACCCGACATTAGGGGGGTCAAGTGTAAGGGTATCCCCCGCGGGTGCTCAAGGGTGTTACAAATCAACTAGCTCCCCTTCCCATGTCACACGGCCAACAAACATGTAAGAAGGCACCAGCCGACTCTCTCCCAATATACACAATATCCTACACCGCAGAGGAAGGCCAGTCTTGACCCGACATTAGGGGGGTCAAGTGTAGGGTAACTCTCACGGTTGACCAAGGGTTATAAATCAGCCAGGCTCACCTCTCATGTCACGACCCCATCTGATGACTTTCCCAGAAGATACAACTTATAGTCTCTGAAAAAGTCCAGACCTGACCCTACATTAGCGAGGGCAAATGTAAGGAGATCCTTCGCCGCCCCCCCGATCAGCTCAACCTGACGGCTCGCCTCCCAATATATAGGACGTCCTAGTCCTCCCTCAGGGAGAGATACGCAGACAGAGAGACAGAGAGGGACAGAGAGAGAGTGTGTCTTGTAAGGAAGAAGGACCAGCTACCACGTCCCGAGTCCTGCTCGAGAGAAGTCAGGGGCCGGAGGCAAGCCGCCTCCGGTCGCCAGCGCCTCCGGTCAGGACCGAGACTTCCCTCCGGCGCCCAGCTAAGCAGTCTCCCATAGAGACAACCCAGGACTACCTGCTAGGCCTCCCCTAGGTCACGTGAGTGTTTGTCAGAGCTTTCCGTGGGATGAGTTACTTACGTGGGAAGTGTATTCATTTCATGTTCGTGTCCGAGAATCAGAGTGTCTAGTAACGTAATATGATGTCCTAGTAACGTAAACATAATGTCCTAGTAACTTCAATAGAAGGTGTTATTAATGTGTCCATGTCATGTTCGTAATTAATAAAGAGTTGCAACGAAGCAGTGTTTGAGAAGTCGCCCTTAAGACGTAATAGATGTGTAACGACATATAAGATAAGTGTATTGACGTATAAGATACGATAAGTGTAAATAACTATCACGAGCACGCTACCAAAATCTTCCTCTCTTTTACTCTCTTACTAAATATTCTACCTATACGTAATCTTCTTCATGTGAGATTTTGTCTCATTACATCGCTAACAAATAAAATAAGAAGTTTTCATTACAGTAAACCTCCGAAATAATAGACACCATCTATAACGGACACTCTGCTCCATTCGAACTAGCTTCATATACAGTATTACAGACTCAGGTCTGTTAAAGAAATAAATAAAGGACTCAGGTAAATCAAGTTAAAACATTTAAGGACTAAATTATTCGAATTACTGAAAAATCTTAATTAAACAAGTTTGGAATATTTTGACAATACAGTACAGTGGTCCCTCGGTTAACGAACGCTTCGGTTAACGAATTACCTTCCATAAGAATCTTCAATTTGGTTAATGAACAAAAATTTGATTAACGAAATCCTTACGAAAATATCGTTTTGTTTTGAACATCAGCTGATCAGCTGCAGGGGTACTCAGCCAATTCAGTAAAATGTTCTATGTTTATATTCGTTTCCAATGGAGTAAATATCAATAAAGTTGTGCTTTATAATATTTATGCATGTTTTCTATTAAAATTATTAGTCATTTTAACATTTATTTAACAATGATAATAAATGCAGTACAGGGAACTAGTTAGTTGTGCACCCATCAGATGCGTGGGTCGGCCACCAGGCGTCAGTCTGGCTTTGTTTACAATCGAGAGAGCAACTATTTTGTTGGTGTCTTGAATATTTTTGCATTTTTCATTGAAATTATTGGTCATTCTGAACTTTAGTTAACATATTGATAATATATAGCACAGTGCAGTATTGATTTAAAGAAAATAATCTTGAATTACACCAAGTGAACTTAAAATTTTATTGGTGAAATGACGGCATCAAGCATGGGTCCCCTGAAAGGTGATTTCTCCTCCATCCCCACTTCCTTCTCTTCTCCCTTCTCCTCCACCCAACTTCTAATTCATTTCATCATCATCAACCAGGAGCCTTCTACATACACACCTGAAAGTAAGTGTACTTTACTGCATTTTTTTATACTTTGTATGTACTTTTCTGTGAAACAATGGATTCGGTTAAGAAATTTTCGGTTGGCGAACGACCCTCTGGAACGAATTGTGTTCGTTAACCAAGGGACCACTGTATTCTAATAATTCACAGGAACTAGTGGCAACTGATGGTGAGGAAGAATTACTACAAATTGACCAAATAGAGTTAACACCTACCGACTCTTTAGCTAGCGGTGAAAATTTCATAAATTCTCAGTTTGAGAATTTACACAGTAAACAATTAAGGTCAGGTAACATTTACCCATTACCTTCACCTGTTAATAATGCTAGTGCTTTAACTAACACAAAAAAAATGGCAACAGGTGGTTCTACTA